CTGAGCAGCTTTGGGGCCTCTCTGCTGACAAGGTGTTGGGGAACAGCAGAAGGAACAAGAACCAGCAGCTTGTGCTGGCAACAGATGCAGCAAACAGCATCCTGTGCTCCCTAAACCAGCATCTTTCTGATCTCTGCAGGGACACCTACAGTGACAGAAGTGGCAGCAGCTCACCTGACCTGGAGATAACAGAGCTGAAGTTCCCATCAGTAAATCATGATGATTCCTGGTAACTTTGAATGAGCTCAACCTCTTTCCTTATGGAAACCATTTCCTTGCCCAGCTGCCTCCTGGCAGCTGAAGGTTTCACATCAGGTGGTAGAGAACTGGCACCCCATGAGAGGTGCTGATGCTCACACACGTATTCCAGCTGTGCTGCGGGATGTGTGTCTGGGTGGCAGATGTGTGTGGGGGGTGTTTCCTTAGCAAGCTGACACATAATAAAGTGTAAAAATACATGTGGGAGATAGAGATGAAACTCAGATCCGTTAAAAAGCACAAATAGAGCACACGTGCCTGAAAGTGGGGGCAAAGCTGAGCAAGCTTTGGATGTAGAAAGTTCAGTTTTGGGAGCAATCTCTCATCTCTGCCAAGGAATGTTTTTGAATTGCCCGTTCTCCCCATCTCCTGAGACAGCGAGCTCCTCTGCTGAGCCAGTGGGCTTGAGCTCTGCATGGTGGTAGCTGCTGCAGATGTGGATGTGGAAGCTGGATGTGTGTGACGCAGTGGCAGAGGGAGGCACTAAAACCTGGCCCTCTGGCTCACCAGGAAAGGCAGACTTGATTCTTCCATGAGTTCTCCCTTAGTGCAGTAGGAGATCGTGGCCTTTTCCCCACTGATATAGAGGGAGAGCAGGGCTTTGTTGCCCAGTGCCACCAAGGATGTCCAACTGGTATCAGAGTGGCTGTCCCCAGTGTAGGGAAGGTGACACTGGCTTATGTGGCACATGGTCCAGCTCAGCTCTCCTAATAGCTGCATCGTAAGGAAGATTCTCTGGTAGCAGCCCTGGGCAGGGTGTGAAGTCGGGTCTCAGCTGCACAGTGCTCTATTGGTTCATTTATGTTTTATTCCAAAAGTGATTTCTTAAAGGAGCTTTCTCCCTCAGGGTCTTAATGTTGCCACAGTGCCCCTGTGCAACTGACAGGCACCTTTATCCTGGGGAGGGGAGTGTTGTCAGGTCCCATGTGTTACATTTCTCTGGCGTGCTGCATGTGAGACATGGGCTTCAGTGCGCTGCTGTGTTAAAGAGCGTACAGATGTGGCAGAAAATACCCTCCCTGTGTTGCAGCCAGTCCTCAGGGGTCACAAGGGCTGATAGGGAAAGCTCTATAGAAAACTGACCCAATTGGTAATTCACGGAATCCCAGCCTGGTTTGGGTTGGAAGGGACCTTAAAGCTCCTCCAGCTCCAACCCCTGCCACGGGCAGGACCCCTTCCACTAGAGCAGCTTGCTCCAAGCCCCTGTGTCCAACCTGGCCTTGAACACTGCCAGGGATGGGGCAGCCACAGCTTCTCTGGGCACCCTGTGCCAGCGCCTCAGCACCCTCACAGGGAAGAGCTTCTGCCTAAGAGCTCATCTCAGTCTCCCCTCGGGCAGGGGGCACCACTCGTCACTGGTCTCCAGCTAATTCCTTATCCACTGAGGGATCAATCTGTCACATCCATGTCTCCAGGTTAGACAGGGATGCTGTGCAGGACAGGGTCTCACACCTTGCACAAGTCCAGGCAGACAAGGTCAGTTGCTCTTCCCTTACCCCTCACCAGTGCTGTGGTCCATCACAGAAGGCCACCAACTTGGTCCCCTTTCTCACTTTGGTGTATTTTGGTGTGTGAATGGGTCTTGGTCAGGCCAAGCATCTGTGGGCCTTGACTCAAGGGCAGAACAGGACCCCGACATGTTAGCATCTGGCTCCATCACCCTTAGCAGGGTTGTGCAGCTCCCCTCACCAGAGCTCTCAAGGCCTCAGGCCTCGTGCCCTCAGCTGTGTGTGCAGCTCCAGCCCCTTGCTCTTCCCTCTCAGTAACTCCTGCTCCTTTTCTCTCTCCCCAGATGTGTCTGTGCTGAAGAGAAGAGTCTGCACTTGATTTCCCAGGCGTTCTTACAGCAATAGCTTGAGCACTCTCAGCTTTGGGCTTCCTTAACTTATGGGTTTATAAGTTTCCTTAGGAAATCCTGACCCTTTATTTCCCCAGTCTTCTGCCCTTTATTTTCTATGTAGATTCTGTTTGCTCCTGGAGGAGAGCCCATCGCAGCACACGCACCGCTTGGCTTCCTGCTCTCCCACCAGCCTGGAGATACAAAGCCAAGTGGGGTACAGGGCTGGGTGTGTTTGGGGGGGGACAACACACAGTTGGATGCTCCTTCCCAGCGCATGGTGACAGTGGCAGTGCTTTGGGGCTCAGGTGCTGGCACGTTTGTTGCTTTCTGCTCCCTCAGCACCTTTATAGCACTGGTGGAATCATTGGGATGACACCGGATTTTGGGGGCTCTGTTCTGCAGCTGTGCTGTGCTGCAGGGGATGGGGCTGCTCAGCTTTCTGCAGGCTTTCTCTTTTCTTTGGGGGGGATGTTTTGTTCTTTTTTTGGTTGTTTTTGTCTTCTCAGTAGCATTTCAAACCATTTGGCACTGGTGGTCTGGGTGCATTCATTACCAGTAGTGAATTTTTAACCAGGAAAAGCGTCCTGGAACACCTGGATCAGCTCTAACTGTGATGTGTCCCTGCAGGGATGCACCCGACCTGCATCATGTGGGGTGGGGTGGGGTGGGGGAATAAAAAGCAAAAGCAATGTCAGGAAAGCCTGAGCCTGGCGTTGCCGTTGGCCCTGCAGTGCCAGCGCCGCTGGTGCTGCCTCTGGGCCGGGACACTTGAACTCCTTGCATCAAGGGGGAGGTACAGAAACAAGTGAACTGCTTTCAGATGCTGCCTTTAACAGCTCCCGTTTGCCTCGGACTGAGCCATTCATGGTGCTTTTTGTTTCAGTTTTTGGAAGTGGAGCCTTCCTTCCGTTGCCTTCTTTGCCCCGGCGCAGCCGCTGCTCCCTATGGAATGCCCGAGGGAGCACGTTGCGGTGTGCAGTGCTGGGGTCACTGTCGTGGGGGGGGTCAGCTCTGCACGTCTGGCTGGGGAATGCACTCTGGATCCCCCCTGCCTCTTGCTGCAGTGTAAGCAGCACGTTTGGGTCCTTGGTAGCTCGGCTGTCTCAAGTGCTGTACGTTCTCAACTGTTGTCTGATGCCAACCCCTGCCCTGTCTCACCCCAGCGAGCTCTTCCACAGCCTCCCTGTGCTTTAGTCCTCGCTTTCAGCACACACTCAAGCTGCTTTTGGCCTGGGACCCTCTGAGCGTTCTTGGTGCGTGACAGTTCCACAGGAGCCAAGGGGGGATGCTCTCTGTGCATCCTTCCTGCTCCCCACTGACACTTGGGTGTTTTCTCTTCCTGCAATGTCCTTGTTTTGGCCAAAACTGTGCAACCCCCTCAGTCCTTCCGTGCTTGTTTGTAATAAAATGAATAACCAGCCAGGAGCTCCCGGTGGTGCACGGGGGGAGGAAAGGGACTGAAGTGTGCCAGTGTTACAGTGGAGTATAACGCTGTTATACTGGAGCGTAACAATGGCTCCAGTGCCAGGTGTTTCTGCAGTGAGGGTCAGGCATTCATGAATTTATGGGGCTTCCCCTCTGCTTCCCCCTAGCAGTGGGGGGAGCTGGGGAGCCAGGACTGAACCCACAGCTCCTGCAGGGACAGTTTGGAACTGAATTGAGCTGCTGGGTGGTTTCATAGAACAGAATCCCAGCCTGGTTTGGGTTGGAAGGGACCTTAAAGCTCCTCCAGCTCCAACCCCTGCCACGGGCAGGGACCCCTTCCACTGGAGCAGCTTGCTCCAAGGGTCTGTGGTGTGTGTGCACCAGTTAAGAGGCTGCTCCCCTGCAAGCTCCAACAGCAGCAAAGACTTTGTGAAAGCCTCTGCCCACACCCCTGCTCCTACACTGGGGACTGGCGATGCCAAAAGACTCCATGGGGCAACGGGAAGGTGCCTGTGCTCATGTAGCACTGGAGCCCCTCCATGGGTGCACTGCAGACACCCACAGTGCTGCCCATGGGGATGCTCAACCATCCTCGAGTCCAGAGCATCGGCTTGGGATGGGACCAGGCAGCAGGCAGTGCTTTGGAGAGGCAGCAGGAGCCTGAGGGGTGCCCAAGGGCTGGCTCGGAAGCTGGCGATGCACTTTGCTGTCCTCACTAAGGAGCCCCTGGTGGTGGTCACCACATCACTTGTCTCAGCCGGGTCTGTCCCAGCAGTCCCACAGGCAGCAGGAGCAGGGCCAGAGCCCCATGGAGGACGGGAGGGGTGTGTATCCCGATGTGCCCCCATGGCGGGGCCCACCGGAGCGCTCCCAGCAGCGCACGCACAGCCAGCGGGAGCAGCTCTCGGTTATCCCTTTATTTATAAACAAGGTAAAAGAAGTGCAGAGGAAAGCACTGGCTGAGCCGCGGGCGAGCCCGAGGGCCCCCGCAGCAGCAGGAGCCGCAGCGCAGCCCTCACCGCGCACCACAAAAGCTGTTTTAGAGCTTTGAGGGGGGTGTGTGGGGGGGGTGTGTGTGTTTTGTTGTTTGATTTCTTCTTTTCTTCTTTGCAGCTTTTTCCCCTTAGGGGTAAACCTGCCCCAGGGCAGGGCTCTGGAGCGGGGGAACAGTGCGAGGCGCTGCTCTGGATGGGGGAGCTGGAGCCTGGAGCACAGGGAAGTGCTTGTGGGAAGCCCTTTGGTCACTGCAGAAGGAAGCGTGCGTGTGCTGCGCGTGTGGGCACCCCTCCCACCCCAGGGCCCAGCTCCACCCTGGCTGGGCCATGGGTGCTCCGATGCCCCTCTGCAGGCGCAGGGACACGTGTGGGGCAGCGCCACTGCTCAAGTGCCACGGGAATAAATAACACGGGGCTGCCAGGAGCAACCTGCAAAGCCCTCGCGGGAAGAGCAGCGCAAGGACAGGGAGCCCCGGGGGGCCTCTGACCTGCCAGGTCCAACAGCCTCTTGCATTGCGCCGAGCTGGGACGGAGCTGACACCATTGGAGCGGGAGAGCCCCTGGGAAGACGAACGTGGAAAAACCACCAGGAGCTGCGAGTTCAGCTCCGGGTACAAAAATCACCTCAGCTCTGGGGACAGAGAGCTCCTGACTTGAAAACAAGAGGAAAGGAGGAGGAGGAGGAGGAGGCGAGTGCCGCAGCATCGCACCGGCTGCCCCAGCCCCGTCCCTGCCGCGGGGCACCAGGCCCAGCCTTGCTCCTCAGCTCACCCGGTGCCCCCAGTGCTGCTGCGTGGCCGCCCCAGTCACAAATAAATACGAAGGTCTCGACCGTTGCCCGGTGCTCCCGGCGGGAGGAAGGATGGAGCCGAGGGAAGCGAGAGGCTCCTGGATGTAGAAGACTGGGCTGGAGGTGGTCGCTGCTCTGAGCTTGCCGTGGTGCCACAGGGGCAAGGTTGGGTGGCACAAGGAGTCCAGTGCCCCAGCGCTGCTCCGAGGGGTGGGAGCCAACAGCCCTGTTCCCATGGGCTCTGCCCAGCGCCGCGGCTCCATCCCAGGGAAGCAGGACTGGACCCTCCGCTTCCAACGGGATGCCCATGCCTCGAGTCCGGTGCGAAGCCCTGGGGCCAGCTGTGCTCCAGCTGTGCTCCAGCCTCCTCCCGCTGGCACAGGGCGGGCTGGAGCCTGCGGCGGGGCCGGGCTGTCAGCGAGGTGTCCGTCGGCGCTGATGGGTGTGAGTGCATGCGGTACCTGTGGGCAGGCGAGCGCGGGTGCGGGTGGCCAGGAGCGGAGCTTCCAGGGTCCGTCCTGCCAAGCGTCCTCTCAGAACTTGCCTTGCTTTAGCTTGTCGATGTGGTAAGTGAGCTTCAGGGCTGGGCCCAGCTTCAGCCCCATGTACTTCATCATCATGTCACTCCGCAGCAAGAGCAGGGCTTTCCCGTCGATCTCCTGCAAGGAAGGGAAACGGCAGCACTTGTGATAACCCTGTAAGCACCAGCCCTGCCCAGGCTGGGGTTCTATGGTTCTATTCATCATCTGGTCCGAAGGTGTGAAGAGGCTTCACCTCCCAGTCCTGCTGCAGTGCCCAGGCTGAGCAGCATCGTCCCTCAAGCAGAGGGGACGGGGCTGGAAAACAGACACTGCAGGGAATGGAGATGAACGGGGCCCAACGCTCCGCAGTGCTCCCAGGTCTCCTGCCTGATGCCCTGGGATGCTGTTCCCTGGGATGCTCTGTTCCCTGGATGGTGGATTCCTGACTAAACTGGGGATGGGGATGGGGCAGCTGGGTTGTGCGGTAGCTGGAGCCAGAAGTTAAGAGCCCTGCAACCTCCTTTGAGGTCACTGAAAGCCTCCCTTGAACAGGAGCAGCGGAACTGGGGCTGGTTTGGGCCTGGGTTAGGAGGAATCGGGATGCGGAGGTGCCAAAATGCAGCTGGAACTGTACAGACTCCACGTCTGCAGCTGTTTTATGCACCAGAGCCTTGGGAGGCTCCTGTTATAGGGAACAGGGGTGCTCGGCAGCAGCGCACTCAATGAATCCCCCTCGGAACGTGTTTCTTGCCAGGAGAAATTTGCCATGAGGTGAACGTGAAGACTCCAGGATGAACAGGGGCTGTGTTGGCAGCACTGGGGCTCCGACCCAGCCAAGAGCCGAGCCCTCCATGTGCACCCTGGAGCTCCAGCTGGGCTGAGATGTGCTCCCCTTGGCAGCTGCTGGGTAAGAGGATCCGGCCCCTGATCCGGAGCAGGACTTGGGAGGATGCTTTCCTTGGCACTCGCTCCAGTACAGAGCGCTGCCGTTCCTCTGGCTCCTGGATCACCCTTCCATGACGATCCACCCCATCCTGTATGTAACACACGTGTGCACACACACACACACACACATGGATGCACTCACATGTTTCCGGAAGAGATCCGCGTGGGGTCCCAGCTGCGGATCCGCCTCCCGGATGAACTGCATCACCTCCTCCACCGTCCAGGACGAGGGATCGCGGCCGCCGGGCCGGGCCACGTCCCTGCCTCCCAGGTACCTCTCTGAGCCTGGCAAGGGGGGAGACAGCGGCCGTCACCCAGGGGTCCTGCAGCACCGCTCCAGCCGTGCCTCACCCCCCAGCTGCCGCTCGGGCTCCTCTCTCAAAGCCACGGCAGAGACAGCGCCCAGGGCACAGCCCAGAGGCTCCTGGGTGCAGCTCTAGCACTGAGCCTTGTTCTCCTTCCTTAGGCCTTACTTTTGGGCCAATCTTTTACCCTGAGCCCCTTTCCCTGCTCTAAACCCCAGGTTCCCTTTGCCTCCCTTCCGCTGGGTTTGCTTCTGCCATTCCCACTGCTCCTTCCCAGCTGCTGATGGTTCCCGCTGCCCCACGGAACGATCCTCCATTCCCACATCTCCCCCCAAGGGTCACTTCTCCCCTTGCTCCCCTGCTCCAAACACCTCCTCCAAGCAAACCTAACACGGCAAAGCTGGTTCGTGTTCTCATGCCTGCGTTGGCTGATGGACTGAGCCCACATGGCGAGTTCTCTTGTCTCAAAGCTAACACAAGTCCTGCTCCCTGCATGCCTGCACGGGCACATCCCATGGTTTTGCCTCCCTGCCTGCAAGCACGGCTTGGGGGGGGGCAGCTGAGGGATGGAGGCAGCAGCACCCTGAGCTTTTTAGAGGCTTTTACTGATGCTGTGCACAGAAACAGCAACTTCTTTCACCACCACCTGCCCCTGTCCACGGTGCACAGCCCTCCTGCCCCATCCCCTCTGCACAAACAAGCACCATGCATCCGCCGCAGCTCCAGCCTCACCCGGCCGCTCTCCCTGCCCATTCCCAATCCGTCCTCCTCGACTCAGCCACCAATTCACTGCTTTCCCCCTGCCTGCCAGTCCAGCTCCTGCCTGCGCCTTCCACTGACCTCCACGTCCACCTCGCACCACGCAGGACCCTGCCAGCATCGCCACCCGCCCGCCTGCCTGGGTCTAGAGCCCCTGCCAACCCTCTCGGACTACCTGTGTCAGTGCCGAGGTCTCTGGTACTCGCTGGAGTTAGAAAGGTGTAACTGGAGTTAGAAAAGCCCTTTCCTGCCCAAGTTACAAGCGCAGGGCTGGCTTCTTAACTCTCTTACCCCCAGAGCTAAGCCTACGCAAGGCAGAGGAGCTGCCCTGGCTGAGGCTAGAGGGTTGGTGCAGGTGCCTGTATCCTGGCAGGCGATAGTCTCTGGAGCTCCTGCTGTGGCTGGATGCATTGACAGAGTTCAAGGCAGAGTCCATGGGGTCCAGGCGAGGCTCCAAGGGCCCTGGGAGCCCATCTCCCAGGACAAAGGTTTCACCTGGAACGCACCAAGCTGCAGTCAGTGCACCCGCTCGCCGCGCACCACGCTACCGCTCACACGGCACCGGCTGCTGCTGGTGTCCTCGGAAGCACAGGCACTGAACCAGGCTCTGCCCACGGGCTGCAGCCCAGCGCTTGCCTGGCGAGTGCCAGGCCAACCCGTTGGCAGTGGGGGTGGTTGGTACCCAGACCGCAGCACCGGCTCTGCTGGCATCGCTCTGGTAATGGGGGCATCGCTCTGGTAATGTTCCCAGCTCTGGGTTGCAGTCCTGGGTCCTTACTGCTGCCAGTACTGGGTCCTGCCTCCTGCAGGGCACTGCAGGGGAGGGCTGCGTGTTCTGGATGCCAGTGGCACAGGGCTCACACAACAGCCCTGAGCAGGGGAGGATGCTCCCCCAGGGGGCAAGCAATGCACATCACCGGTGTTAGCGTGCAGGCCGTTGGGACTCTCTTTAGTGGGTCTCATGCAGAGCAGGAGGCTCCTCCGAGCAGCTCAGTCACGGCCAGGCAATGCTCTCACGCCATGCTAAGCCTCCGGCCCCAAAAGCAAGGTGCTGGTGACCACAGCTCACCCGCCCCTGACCTCCTGCTGGGCTCGTGCTCATTCCCTAAGTCACTGACAGCTCCCTTTGCTGGGACACACAGAGGAGGGACAGGGCAGGGGGCAGAGGGCTCTCCCTGGCTGGGGGTCCCAGTGCAGGCCTGGCTTCCTCACCACCCCATGCAGAAACACATCTCATTTTCATCTGTCGGTGGCAGCATTAGGATGGAGCTGTCTGGGTGACGCATCAGCTGAGCCAGCGAAGATCTCCCTTTGCTGTTACCCTGCGCTGGCTCCATCCTAGGACCATGAGGGTGCAGATTTAACTAGTACAACCAAGCCTTGGTCCAGGTGGACCTGATGCCTCATGAGTCACCCTCAGACACCTGCGTGCTTCACTATGAGCAATGAAATACCTGGCATGTTCATGCAGCATGTTCATGGCTCCTGCAGCAAGGCTGGGCCAGCGCACCCGGCTGGGAGCTGGAGCTCCTCTCCCAGTACCCACAGAGACCCAGATGCAGCTCACGGCCCTGAGCTGCTGCCACGCAGACCCCATGGTAGGGGACGAGGAAGAAGAAACCTGAGCAATCCCAGCCAGGCCCTGGGCTTCTTCCCTGGGGCTTCCCAGACCACAGGAGCAGCAAGCGAGAGCAAGCACAGTGCAGCTGCGCTGACCTGGGATGGTGATGAAGGTGTGGAGGTGATGCTGCAGCCCAGGAGGCCTGAAGCTGCTGAGATCATAGAACCAGTGCAAAATCATTGAAGGGGTTGTGCTGGAAGGGACCTTAAAGCTCCTCCAGCTCCAACCCCTGCCACGGGCAGGGACCCCTTCCACTGGAGCAGCTTGCTCCAAGCCCCTGTGTCCAACCTGGCCTTGAACACTGCCAGGGATGGGGCAGCCACAGCTTCTCTGGGCACCCTGTGCCAGCGCCTCAGCACCCTCACAGGGAAGAGCTTCTGCCTCAGAGCTCATCTCAGTCTCCCCTCTGGCAGGTTAAAGCCATTCCCCTTGGCCTGTCCCTACAGGCCCTTGTCCAAAGCCCCTCTCCAGGTTTCTTGCAGGTCCCCTTTAGGTATTGGAAGTTTTCCAACCTAAGATCTTCCCCAGCTTCCCCACTAAGCTGCTGCTGCCCTGCTGAGTGCTGCAGCCACTGGGCCCCACACTGGGGCAGCCTCTCTCAGAGGTCTGTTATTTTCTCTGCCTTCTACGAGCTACAGGACTGGGATCCTCTGGTTTCAGCTCCCGCTGCCTGTGCTTGAGCGGAGATCCCAGGGGTGAGTTTGGCTGGAGCCAGCCCGCCCCTGCCTCCCCCGGCTTCCTCTCCTGGGGCTACAAAATGGGAGAGATCCCTCTTGTCCAGTGCACTGGGAATTCAGGGAAGCAGATGTGAGGTTCTCACCCACGTAACTGCAGCCCTCCCTCTCCTGGGCTCTGCTGCTCTGCACTCGAGGCATTTCTGCCTTTCTTTGCTTCCAGGTCTCTGGGATGCTCTCAGAGCAGCACATCCTTAACACCTCACACACAACCAGCATTGGTGTGAGACTGTTATTCCCAGTGGCCTGTGCTGTGTGCTGGCCTGCACGGCACCAGCTTCCCACCAGGACAGATGTGTTTTCATCTGCTCTCTGTGCATGGAAGGAGGATTCCTGGCTTATGGCTATTCCTGAATAACTCTGAACCCTTCCTTCACTCCTGTACCCCTTCCCCACCATCCCATTTCAGCACAAGGCTGGATGTAAAGCCAGCCCTGAGCTGGCTGCTCTGGCTCAGGGGAGGATGGAGATCCCCTGGCCCATGTGCACGCTGTGGATGTGACTTCAACCCATGCCTCTCCATGGGAGCCTCTTCATGTCAGGTATGTTTGGTCTCCTCTCCAACAGGGCAGTTTTGCTTAAAACCCAAACCAGGTCCATGAAATACCTGTGCAAAAGGAGCAGGTCTGGCTCACAGCAGAGTGCAGAGACATGAGAGGTGGGGGCCCTCTGCATTGGTGGGGATGCTCAATTACAGCACGGTGCTGCGGGCATGCAACCAGGTCTGTGCTGCCCACCTCCATCCTCAAGGAAACAGCACCCAATGAGGGGTGACAACAGCTACAGCCTCCAGGGAGCTCCATGATGCTCACCCAGATGTGGTCAGGCAAATGTGTGCCTGAAACTGCTCATGAGAACCCCAAAGCTCACTGGGCACTTGCAGCCCAGAGCCCCCCCCCCCGTGTGCTGGGTGCACCCCTAGAGCGTGAGCAGCAGCTCAGGGAGGGGATCCTGCCCCTCTGCTGTGCTCTGGGGAGAACCAGCTGCAGCTCTGGGGCAGCACAAGAGGGACGTGGAGCTGTTGGATGGAGATGCTGCAAGGGCTGGAGCAGCTCTGCTCTGGAGCCAGGCTGAGAGAGCTGGGCTGGGTCAGCCTGGAGAAGAGAAGGCTCCTGAAGGGGAGACCTGAGAGCAGCTCCAGTGCCTGAAGGGGCTGCAGGAAACCTGGAATTCTTCCCTGTGAGGGTGCTGAGGCGCTGGCACAGGGTGCCCAGAGAAGCTGTGGCTGCCCCATCCCTGGCAGTGCTCAAGGCCAGGTTGGACACAGGGGCTTGGAGCAAGCTGCTCCAGTGGAAGGGGTCCCTGCCTGTGGCAGGGATTGGAGCTGGAGGAGCTTCAAGGTCCCTTCCAACCCAAACCAGGCTGGGATCTATGACCTGTGCAAGCAGAAGGAATTTCTGGGCTCAAGACTGCAGCTTGGGCTGCTGGGACACCACGTGCACGGGTTCCTGTCATTGCAATGCTAAGGATCCATAATCCACCCTCAGGAAATATTTAACTTAGCAATTAACACACTGTTGCCATCCTGCTGTGAATGCCCCGTGATGCATTCATCAAGTATGTGATCCTGTTCTCACACGTGGCTGTGATCCTATGTCTGAAGAAGAGCAGGAGCCCATCCCACTGGGGAGCACTGCTTTGAGGGGGAGAAGGGAAGCTGCACATTCATGCCCAGGTCACCTATTGCTGGCCTTGTGTTTGGCTGGGCTGCAAGTACTGCAGCAGAACTGGAGGCTTCTTGGTAGGATCAACAAGAGAGACTCTGGATCATCTTAAAACCACAGACACGCAGAGAACAGCTCAGAACCAACACCTCCAGAAAGGGGAGAGGGAAAGAAGGCGAGAGAGGAATGATTCTTTGCCCTGTGACCCATCTGTAGCAGAAGACAACGTGCAGGGTACAGGATGCACTCAGGCACAGACCCCTGTGCAGAACCCTCCTCCCTCCATGCCCAGCTTTGGAGCAATGAGGACCTGGGTTATCCTGAGGCAGATTTGCTTACACAAACTGCTAGTTTTAAGTAACAGCTTGCATTTAGAGCACTGGAGGAGACGCCACCAGGAGTGGGGAGAGGCAGGGAGCAGCTCATTAAAGTGCAATTAAACAGTGCTAGAGATTCAAGAGTGTGGTTTTGCTGTGAAAGCATGGAGCGTGGCCACAAGCACCAATCTGATCCGCACAGCTCCTAAACTCCCACTGCTCCCAAGGAATGGCAGCCTTTGGAAAACACGTCCCTGCTGGAACTGCAGCTTTCCAGCAAAAAGCTCCACCAGTGCCCGCGGATGGGAGAGGAAGAACAATGTAAGGAGGAAAATCCCTCCTCAGCCTCCTGACTGCTTGCCAAAGGCGTGCTGAATGCAGCTTCCTACTGCTGCTCACTGCCTTCAGCTTGGCAGACTGAAAGCTGTTCAGGTCCTGTCACGCTGCTGAAGGCAGAATGAGCTGTGCTGGGGAGTTCTCACTGTGAGAAGAGGAACCTCCTTGCCCAAGAACTACTCAGTAGCAGAGTATTTCAGGCTCGTATTCTTACAATGCATCCTCTGAAATGCAGATGTTCCTGCTTGTACTTCAACATCCACCCAACAGGATCACCACCCTCACGTGAAGGCACGCTTTCTACCCACTGGTCTCTACTGTTACAGAAGATACCTCCAGTATCTGAAGGGGGGCTATAGGATGCTGGGGAGGGACTCTTCATTAGGGACTGTAGTGACAGGACAAGGGGTAACAGGTTCAAACTTAAACAGGGGAAGTTTAGATTGGATATAAAGAAGAAATTGTTTCCTGTTAGGGTGGTGAGGCACTGGAATGGGTTGCCCAGGGAGGCATGACCAGGTTGGACGAGGCCTTGGGTGCCCTGGTTTAGTGTGAGGTGTCCCTGCCCATGGCAGGGGGGTTGGAACTGGATGATGTTAAGGTCCTTTCCAACCCAAACCATTCTATGATTCTAGGATGCAGTACTCTGGGCACCCTGATGACATGACCCATTCAAAGGCCAAGAGAGAATCAAATAGACTTTGAAGTAGTCTAAGAATCCACCTTGCAGACAACCTAACATTAAGCTCCTTGGAATTACTCATTACAGAAGCCTTCCCTCTTCACTGACAACAGAATGTACAATACTTGCTATCTAACCAAGGCACCTTAATCTTCAGAGCACATCGCTGTGCTTCAAGAGCGGGCTGAGCACTGCAAGTCCCACCTTCTGGTAGAGGAGTGGAAAGGCTTTACTAACAGTTAACCTAAGTGCAGTGGTTGATGCACTGGAAGAGCATGTCAAGAGGACCACTGATACTGATACTGCATGTATCTAGTGGTGAGAAACAGACTGAGCCTCAGGGAACAGTTTCTGACTGTGCTGGAATAGATGAGCTGGTCCCACACGTCACCATGTTCTTCACTCCACCTACATAACCATTTTATTCCATGTAAATACTAAGGCCACTAGAAACTGTCCATCGTAGGGGGCAAGTCCAGATCAGCTGCACTGAGGGAAGGGGTCAGTAATGCTGCAGAGCAGAGGGCACAGTGATGGACGGAGACTAAAAAGGCCATGCATGTGCAAATCTGGGTTCAGCACCCAAGCCCAGCAAGAACCAGGGACATGGTGATCTGAAGGCACAGCAACAGAGCACAAAGCCAGTGACCTGTGAGCCCAGCCAAGAGTCTCCAGCAGGTCTTAAGGGGTGCATTACAAAGGATTGAGAGTAAAACCTTGGCAGATTTCACCATCAATCTATTAAAAGGCTTCAGTAAGGTTAAATCTCCATAACAATGTCTGCACTTCAAACCAAAAGGGAAGGTGGCAGCTATTGAAGACTCCTGCTCAGGCTCAGGTCCTCCAGCTACCTGAACCCCCTGGATCTCCCACCTCCACATGCAAGGGACACCTATGGACCACACACCGCAGGGGACATCTCTGCAACTGCTTCTGCAGCACATCTGCACCAGCATTCCCTGATGGACACGGCAGGAAGCAGCAGCACTGTGGGATGTGATGTGACCTGGTTCAGCTGGTGGGGAACACGCTCGTGAGACCCTCCCTGCTGCTTAGGAAGGACTGTGAGGAGCAAGATGGGATCCTGGGAAAGGGCAGCGGGTTCCTGGCCCTGCAGCTGCCCATCAGCATCTGTACAATACACTGCAGTAAACCAGCGTGGAAAAACTGGGGGGAAGATCGACTGAAGCAACTGGGCAGGTTTATGGCTGTTAATACCCAGCAATGGAAGCTAAAATAAGGGTAAATTAAATCCCAGATTATGTGGTATTAGGTGATGACGATGAGGGTTAGAAGGAATCCTCCCTGCATTCCACATGCCTCACACAACTGCCTGGGCAACCTGCCTTGGGCGAGCATGGCTTCATTCCTACCTGAAACACCAAGCACTGACCCACGCCAGCGACCAAGCAAAGCAGACCTAAACCCAGGGCTCGCTTTGCACAGCAGCTCTCGTCCTGCTGCACCCATGACAAGCCACTACAAACAGCCAGCTTTGGGAAGAGACGCTGTGCTCACCTTCCAAAGGGTGACGGTCATTCTTTGGTAACTTGGGGGAGAGAGGAGCACTGTATGGAGGGGGGTCTTGGGAATAGCGCTTTGTACCCCGGCCTGGTCCCTGCAGAGTGCCGTCTAAGGAACTGCTTCTGTCTAGGAAAAGAGAACAAGCCCTATTTAGGAGTGGAGACTTGCTGGGAAACCCAGTCCTGCCAGAGCCACTCAGGATCACCAGCGTGGCCGCAGCCTGTTCCAGCTGCGATCCAGCACATCTGTCAGTGCTTAACACTTTATACTTTGCTTTAAGTCTGACCAAAGGGTGGTGAGAAACCTAGCGAAGAATCTTAGCCACATCCTGCCATATTTCACCCCAAATAACACCTCTGATCGACTCCATTCCGTTTCTCCTCATCCTACCCCTCGGCTCCTCCGGCGCAATTCCTGCTCCTCCCCACTCTTCCCCTCTCAGCTGTTTGTGAACACTTCAGTGCTTGATTAAACTGGACTCCAAGTTTCCATCCTTCCCCAAAGGGACCCCTTGAGAGCTGCCACTGCTGCTCCTCTCCAAGTGCTTCCCAACGCTGGGGCTCTCTGCATGCAGCACGGCACAGGACCCTCGGCTGGGCTGTGAGATGCCTCTCTGTAGAGGGCTGAAGGCTGCACAAAGTGCCAATGGGTGGATGAACACAGAGAATGGGAGCACCAACACGATGGGAACGGCAGCAAGGGAAGGGGTACAGGGGGTGGCAGTCCATGACCTGCCTGCACGAGGCATGGTCAGCTGGGAAGCAATGAAAAGAGGTTACCTCCAGCCACTGCCTGCCCGCATGGGCCCCCAGTGCTGCTGGCTCTCCCCTTCCAGCTGCCCTAAGCACGGGCCACATGTGGAAGCCTGCAGTGCTCCAGGTGGATGAATACCAGGAGCCTGGAGCAGCCCCAGCTGGTGGGGCAGGGCAGGAACAGTGCTGAAGGGGTGATAGAAACATGGTGGGGAACGACTGGGTCTGACACCAACGGGATGCATCACGCCAACACAGAACGAAGGTACAGGGGGTGGGAAGCAGCACGGTCACAATTCAGTTGGCTAAAGACAAGTACAGAGGTAGGGAAAAATACCTGAATCCTTTGGGGAAATGAAAGATTAACCTGCTTATAGTGAGGCGTTAGGACTCCAATATCATCAATATCATCAGTATCATCAATAAATTACCGCACTATTATACCTAAACTGTACTGTGCAACAGTACCTAAAGGGGCTAACAAGAAGTCTGGAGAGGGGCTTTGGACAAGGGCCTGTAGGGACAGGCCAAGGGGAATGGCTTTAACCTGCCCGAGGGGAGACTGAGATGAGCTCTTAGGCAGAAGCTCTTCCCTGTGAGGGTGCTGAGGCGCTGGCACAGGGTGCCCAGAGAAGCTGTGGCTGCCCCATCCCTGGCAGTGTTCAAGGCCAGGTTGGACACAGGGGCTTGGAGCAAGCTGCTCCAGTGGAAGGGGTCCCTGCCCGTGGCAGGGGTTGGAGCTGGAGGAGCTTTAAGGTCCTTTCGACCCAAACCAGTCTGTGAAATTATCAGAAAGACAAATACTGTCCTCAGGACCAGTCCTTGTAGAAACATTTGGTGCTCAGGCTGAGATGAGAAACAAATGCTCTCTGGATACCTCTAACTAAAACTGCACAACCTCCTTCACCAGGCAGTCACTGAACCGCAGCAGAAGAGGATGCCTTCTAAAGGCTTGATCAGGTTTTGGTTTGGGTTCTTTTTAGAAGTCATGTAAAGACACAAGGCTGCAGCTCAGTGTAAATTAATGGCAGGGTAACCCAAAGCAGGTCTGTAGCTGGGGCCTCCGATTTTAAAGGACAAGAAAATAAAGAAATGGAGACACACACACAGCTGCCTCAGCAGTGCTGATGGGAAAAAATGCAACTACCTTCAGTTCAAAAGATGCCATAAACACCATGCATGTGTAATCATCAGTGAGGAAATAACCTGGGAGAAAAGGACCCCAAATCTGACTAGATAAATGTTCACTTTGGGAAGGATGCTGAGACCAAGCAGATCATTTCCTGGAGATGAAAAGGAGCTGCTCAGAGGAGCTGCACACCCCACAGCATGGCGAGCACAGGGACAAAGGGAACATTTTAACTCATCCTTTCTTTTGACCCAGGGCAGAGGAAGAGGCAGGCCCATGTTTTCAGCTACAGAAGTAATAAGAGTGTGGGAATGAGTGAGAGGAAACTGCAGAAAGGTAAAGACTGAGAAATAAGGGTCCTTGCTTGGAAAAGATGAGGCAGCTTTGAGGTTTCGTTTCACCTCACCTGCCTTGGGAGGCGCTGCCCATGCCTGGGTTTGTGCTGCTGGCCATCGCCAGGCATCAGGATGGACACCTTCACAGACAGTGAGCGTCTGCTCACCTCATCGCATCAAGGCAAAGTCCAGGCTCCTTTAGGATGCTGTGACTTGCCCTGGCTGCTCTGGTACCTGCTCCCTGAGTGACGAGCGTGTCTACACAATCAGCTCAAGTGTCAGTGCCTGGTGACACCCACCAGTAAAGCAAACCAGTAAAGCAAATCCCCCCCCTTCACTTCCAGTCACAGCCACGCTGAACACAGGGGCAGTGATACAAGAAACAGGACAGGAACAAAAATATACACCCTTGCCTAAGACGTGGAAGTCACATAACCGAATGCTTTCAAAGTGGGGACGTGCAGCCGAAGCCAAAACGTAACCTAAGAAAGAAGATGCGCATGAAATCCCAAGTCTGCTGCAGCAGACTGTAACAGAACTCAGGGTGCTGCTGCTGGAGTGATGGGAACCACGGCGTGAGCACTTGAAACAGAAGGTGAAGAAATGATTTTGGTGACAAACTGTTCCCATCTGACCTCAGCAGTGCTGCAGCCAGGCTTGTGAGAGGTGCTGAATGATGGGGTAAGGAAAATACTGCGATTACATGTGGCGCACACATCAGAGGAGCCTGACCCAACAGCTTCCTTATCAAGGGAACACAAGGGATCTATCACACAAAGGAAGAATGATCAATCTCATTCACCTGGAACTCACCAAAGCATCTGATATGGAGAACCACCAGCTGAGACCGAGAGCATGAGCACTACCAGAAGCCTTGTTCATGCACCAACACTTGATGTGAGGGGAGGAGCAGGCAGTAGAGCACTGAGTGAGAACACGAGGCTGCAGAGCACTTGGCAATGAATCTTCCTGATGATCATTCTGGAGCTCAGTTTTAACATTTTCATCAATCACTTTGGCACAAATCTTAGGGATTCACTGATGGAAGCTGCTGATGCCTCCCCACACCAGGCCAGATGAAACAGCATTTGAAATGATGCAGAAAAAACCTATATTGTCTGGAGCTGCAGATAGGAGGTAAATCCAGAGCAAAAAACAGATGTGTACCTAAAGCACTGTCCCATGAGCTGGGAACCTGCAGTTGGCAATAAGGGACGGTATGGACCAGGAGGGCTTGATCATCACCTGCTACAAGGACACACCAATGAAAAGGGGCTTCCAGGGACATTTCTTGTGAACATGGAGGTGCCAGGGCTGTGGCACCAGGTCCACAGCAGCTCCTCCCCAGCGTGCTGAGTGCCACTCTGGGCACTGCACTGAACTCAAACCAACACTAGATGAGGAGAGCAGAGCCCTTCTTCCCAGGGCAGCCAAAAGGTGAGCTCCTTGGAAGGATACAACTGCTCCCTAACTACTACAACAAGAAGAAGAACCAAGTCAAGCTAAAGACACGGAGACACAGATACCACATTGCCCAGAGTAAACCTGGGCTGGAAACTACAACATAGCTCCTAAAAATTCAGCAAAATTTTCCACCCCACTGGAAAAGCAAAATCCCCCACTCCAGAGCTCATTAAAGCAACACTGCACTTTGTGGTGCCTGTAGTAACGGGACCCTAGGCTCCGAGGTCCAGGTCTCTCCAGTCCTCCAGGTTTTCCGATGGCTCCAGATCAGATATACCTGCTCACATCATCTCACAGCCCATCCCTCTTCCCCTTCACAGCAATCAACTTCCCACTTCCTTGCAAACCTACTGTTTCCTGATGTACAACTTGATCTATTCTCCTTACTTCCACGGTTATGCCTTATGTAGCAGGACAGAATCCCAAGATGCAGCTGACCTAAGGGCTGCTGCAGACCTTCCTTCTTCTACCCCAAGCACACCCATGAGCTCTCCACAGACCCACAGTGGTGCTCCTGTAAAGCCAGTTTGTTCTGGGAACTGAGCTCCCAGTCCTAAGCAGTGACTGCTGGAAGAACCAGCCCCACTCAGGCACATGAGCATCTCCACTGCAGAGGGAACAAGGCAGGACACACAGAGCTGAGGGTGAGACCAATCAACACTTGGTGTGATACAAGCTGATGTACAACCACATCCTCATTCTTCCATCACTAGCCATAACCCCCCATCAGAAGCCGCAGGAATGTGTAGATAACAACGTTTATCACCTTCTTCAGGTGCCTGAGAAAGGTGCTAATGTTCAGATGCCCAGCAATCCCTGAGACATCAGTATGAGCTACAGCACTAGGTGTTACCGCTTCCCTGGACTGTGGTTAATCTTCCTTTAACCCCTGCAGACACTCTAAGGGCAAGTTCAGGAAGGGATGGTCTCAGTATCATGTCATATCTGGTGCTCTGAGCTGCCCTGGATTCTGACTTTGCTCTTTAAACCTTCCCACCCTGCCAGGCAGCCCAGCACAGACATCACTGACATCTCATGGGGGCTCGAAGCCATGTGTGTGAGCGACAGGACCTTGCCCATCCAAGCCTGCTACCATGCCCAGATCCAGTCCTATTCCTCCCATTCTGGTTTTGCTCTGTCTCATGACCACAGGATAATTCCCCACTGGAACACACGGATTTCTTCTGAGGGTTCCCTGGTAACCTCTTGTCCCAGGAACCAGACATGCTGCTCCTGTACTTGCCACAGCAACCAACCCTTTTCCTATAGCTCCTCTTCCTATAGCACAGCACAGCTCCCTGCTCCTGGCACTGCTGCTCCAGCCTGCAGCCATGGAGGAAGCAGAGGACAGTCACTCCAAGGTCCTCTTTAGACTCTTGCTAATCCCCCACCCTGAGCCTGGGTGCTTTGTGAGCTGCAATGAAGCACTAGGCTGTGGCCCCTAAGCTTCACCCTTAGCAGCTTCTCCTTAAACAGTTCTCTATCAGTGTGTATCCTTTTATGCTTTTCTCACCAGAGCCTTAATTATCCAAAGCATTAACTTTGGAAAGTCCTCAAACAGCACAAAAAACAATTTGCTGACTTGGGGGCAGAAAGACAGGGGAGGAAGCGAGGAGATGAGAACAAGATACCTGTCAACTACTAAAGAGGGTGCAGATAGCTTTTATTCTCTCCACTACCAGCATTCCTATAGGAGCAGCTCCTCCAAAGCCCCATGGCCAGTCTGGGGAGGCAGCTTCCACCCCAGGGGCTGCTGCCACTACACAGCACTGTGGGGAAAAACCACTGGTCTTATTTTCCACTGCATTTGCTTAAGAGCAATTCTGCAACCTTATGATTTGTGTTGTGGCATGAAATATCTTGCCAGGGTGTGTTGCTTCACCATGGTGAAAGGTGGTTCCTTTCCATACCACGGAAAACAAAGCCACCTATGCCTCTGATTGCTGAGCGTGCCTCATCCCGGAACGGGCCATGCTCCCACCAAGGGCTGGATGTGCTGTTTGCTGGCAGGGGATTCACAGCCAGCATGGAAAGTGCTCTGCTGGCTTTTAATTCCATTCCTAATTACAGTTTACCTGCTGCATGTTATCGCTCTTCGACTTCTCACACACAGTCCTTCACCTTAATTCCTAACTGGGTGAAGTCACTCTAATCAGATTACAGGAAGCAGGAAGGGCTGGGGGAACAAGGAGAGGAGGGGAGACAAGGAGACAGCACGGATGAGCGGAAACCTACAGGCAGAGATGGAAATCAGACCGACGGGCAGAAAACATGGCAACTTGAACCCTGCCTGAAAAAAGAGCCCTGGGGCTGTGTGCTTGACACCGAGTGTGATGCAATGAACCCTGCAGGGAGGGCTCTGACGCTCAGCCTGCCTCCTGACATCAACTCTGCGTTAAGACGCGGGGCACCTGAGGGTCCCTACAACGCCAACCCCCCCCAGCTCCTACCTGGTAGATACCTGTCGTGGTCGTACTCGTGTGAGCGCTGCATGTGGCTGTTCTGAGTGAAAGGCTGGTTCCCAAAGAGGTTGTCACTGCGAAGATTGTGGCAGAGCTTCTCCAGGAAGCGGAGGACGTAGGTGATACTGTTTACTGCTGGCAGGTTCAGAGTGTGCTGTTCCCGATCAAACACAGCTGGAGACAGAAACAAACAGAGCCCAACACGTAAACCCCCAGCAAAGGCAGGAGGCTACGCCCAGGGCTGCACAGCCAGCTTCTGTATCTCAGCATCGCTGGTCTAGACTAGAGCAAACAAAAGCCACTGCCTTCCCGGGGCTGAGCGCTGGGACAGGCTAAAACCAGTCTGCTGCACCCAGCAGCAGGGATGGGGCTGCAGCGCTGGGAAGTTGCGTTCCAGGGCCTGCACGCCCTGTATCCAGGGCTTAAAACAGGATGACACCCTGGGCATTGCCTGTCTCCACGTCCGTGCTGACATTCCCACCCGTTCTGCCTCCTCCCGGGGCTCGGGCAGGGCTTGGGGGATGGAGGGTGAAGTGTTAACGCTGCCCAGGCCGATGGCAGGGCCACACACTGCCTTCTCCAGCACTTGTGCCCAGAGGCCACACTAAACTGCTCTGGGTCAGCCACCAGCTGCTGCTTCACTGGCACAGGTGTTTGGCAAGAAAGAGAAGACAGAGCTCTTCTGTCTGCCCCTGGCCCATGACTGCACCAGGCTTCAGGAGAGGCATCTTCCAACGAGTGAATTCTTGCAATGACATCTCCGAAGGCAAAGTGCTGCAGGCCAGTTCTCACCTGAGATGACCTCTCCACCGTGGCCTTGCTTTAAGAAGGAGAAGACTGTTTTCTGATGATAAGCACAATCAATGCAGGCCTGTACTGCTTGCTGCAGGACAACAGAAGCTCGAGCAGGTCCAAAATGGTCCGGCAGCTGCTGAACTTTCTTCTTGTCTAGGTGGGGCCCAGTGCTGCCGTTCTTGTTCAAGTAAATGCAAACTGCCAAGATGAGAAACGTGTTTGCCATTAACCCACTCAAGAAAGCAAGAAACAGATGCCTAAAATCCAACATGAGAGATGCTGAGATCTTAAGACTGTCAAATCGCTCGCAAAGGGGAATCCACCGTAACTGCTTGTCTGCATCTTAACAGCGGAGCCACTTACAGAGGGCAATCCAAAGTCTTCCTGCCTCTCACTCTTCTTCCACACTGTCCCTGTCCCTCCTACACTCTCCCCTGCAGCCAGGCTCCCAAAGACAGGTTGCAAAGGGGCTCCTGTGCCAGCCAGGGAAGGCGGCTGTGATGACAAAGGAGATGAAGGAGTGCAGCCCCTGCTCTTTAGGGTCCTCTGAAAACTGGCCACTCACTGTGGAAACAGAGGGCTCAGCCTATCCAGTGCTTGACCAACCATACACACAGCAGCTTTGCACTAGGCTTTCCTGCCCAGATTCATCTTCAGTGCATCTCACAGCTGTAGCAGAGCATACACGCTGCACTGCCACTCCTGCTCCTCCCCTGCTCCCTCCTGTCCCTGTTTGCCTGGACATCCTGAAGCTGAACAGATCACGGCCACTGCTGCTCAGCACTTGTTCTGCATCCTGCTGTAGGGTCAGCAGCCATGCCTGGCACGGTCTGGGAGAGCTCACACCCTGGGCTCACAAGAGATGCTGCACACCAAACTGCCTCTGGGCCTGATGGGCCATGAAAAGAGCCCTTTGAGAGCTGCAGAGTCACCATGAGCATGCAGAAAAAGGGATCCCTGCACTGGAGAGATGGACTTCCAGTCTTCCTACAGCTTCGTTAGTTCCAAAACAGAGAGAGAAATGAACCCCTGGGCTCTCTTTTCCTCCCTTCCATCTCAGGCCAGCCTTTCAGGAATTCCAATGGCTGCTGGTTCCAAGTTTAGGAAGGAACAGGAGCACCTCAGTGTGTCGCTTTCTGACCAATGCAGCTCCTAACGTGGAGAATGTGGTTCAAGACCCTTACCTGTGGGAGCCTGCATGGCAGAGCTGGGAACTGTAGCAGCGTCCTGGGGCACAGTGCTTGTGTCTGGTTCTGGGGTACTGGTGGTTGGAGAGGTGGGTGCTGGATTCAGCAATGTCCTAGGTTTCCTCTGCAGAAAAAGAGGAGATATTTCTCCTTTTACCCCTGCTCTCCTTTACTACCCATGATCACTACACTCTCTCCTCTGCATCCAACAGACAAGGCACTGTGGAACATGACACACTTCTGATGGTGATGACGGGGAGTCTGAAGAGCCTAGTAATCAGTAGGTGTGCATTTTATACACCACAATCCTGACAAAATAACAAGCCTGAGATCTGCCACCTTTGCTTGACTCAGACCAGCTACAGACTAACTACACACGATGGACCCAAGAGCTTATTCCACCGTTCGGCCATCCTGTCGTGATCACAGCATCTGCCATGCTACCTTCACAGCTAATGCAGCTCCAAAGACAGAGTTTCTGGATGGAAATGATCTTTAGGACACAGACATTCTCTACAGCTCTGGGGCCAGACTCTGAGGGATACTCCCAGCCCACATACCCCTCTGGTCTCCTACTTGCTGCAGTCATACAGCCAGAGGCTGAGACAAACGTGCACAAACACACGCATGCACCATCCCATGGCAGAACTTGCAGCACCTGCTTTTCACCCGCCTGCATCAGCATCAGCTTTTACCTTACTGCCAGGCTTGGGGCCTCTCTTTCTGGGGAATTTCAAAGGCTCCACTGACTTGGAGGGTGTAGGCATGGGGTGATGGATTAGCGCTTTGGTCGTTCGACCACGCTTCTTCCCTGTTTTGCGACGCCTTTGCCCTTGTTGATGCCCCAAACCAGTCTTTGTGCTACTGTGCATGCTAGGTTTCTCCGAGTTTACTTCGGAGGCAGGTAAAGGGCTCTTTGGAATCACAACTGAAATAAAAAGAGAAAAAGCAAATAGAATTAAATCAGGCGAGAATGAAAACAAGAGCAGCCTCCATCTTTATACAGCGTCACATGGGAGAACCTGGAGCGTTCGCAGCCCCCTGGACGGAGGCTCCAGCTCTCCAAGCCAGGATAAAAACCAAAAGCACTGATCCTGCTTCAGCACTCGAGCTGTGGGACGTGGCTGGGCTGAGCTCCTGAAGGATCATGCTCTCAGCCATACCTTCCTTCCTGAAAATACCTGGCACCTACACCTCTTTCTGCTGCGAGTGGTGACCTGCCAGCGACCACGTAGAACGCATGGAAAGCATTCCTAGGGGAAGGATCAGTCAAGACCTGCCTGACAGTCCCAGAGCCAGTGCTGTGCTGGAAATCCCGTCTCCCAAGGCAGAAATCCCATTTGCTCTGTCCCTAAAGGACCAGTGAATGCAGTGATGGTACCAGCTCCATCCCTGATGCCCTCAAGGACTGGAATCCTGGCCCTGAGTATCAGCTCATCTCAGCTGGATCTGCTGTCCTGCTCCTCTCCCACACAGCCAGAGGTAAGGAGGTGGCAGCACAGGCTCTGCTCCTTCTTATGTTCTCATGCTTGCCATGACAAAACCAGGTTTCTGGTCCACAAATCCTCTGAATTTGGTCATTCATCTCTCCCAAGTCCTGCTAAAGGCTGGAGGTGAGCTGGCCCAGCTCGGTGGAGCAGTATTCCCTTTAAACTCCTGCTAAAAGGAAACAAACCCAAACCCTCCCAGGTTTTATAGAATCATAGCATAGTTTGTGTTGGAAAGGACCTTAAGATCATCCAGTTCCAACCCCCCTGCCATGGGCAGGGACACCTCACACTAAACCATCTCACCCAAAGCTCTGTCCAACCTGGCCTTGAACACTGCCAGGGATGGAGCATTCACAACCTCCCTGGGCAACCCATTCCAGTGCCTCACCACCCTCACAGTAAAGAACTTCTTCCTTATAGCCAATCTAAACTTCCCCTGGTTAAGTTTTAACCCGTTACCCCTTGTCCTATCTCTACAGTCCCTAATGAAGAGTCCCTCCCCAGCATCATATAGCCCCCCTTCAGATACTGGAACCTGCTCTGAGGTCTCCATGCAGCTTCTCTTCTCCAGGCTGAACAGCCCCAACTGTCTCTTTATACGGGAGGTGCTCCAGCCCCTGAGCATCCTCGTGGCCTCCTCCGGGCTTGTTCCAACAGTTCCATTTTGAAACATGTACAGTGAACATCAGGATGTCTTGTGTCTCCAAGCTGGAAACCTTGCTGTGCATTCAACGTGGGGGCTCTGAATGTCACAAACCCCCACTTTTAAAGCAAGGGTCTTTAAAGTGAAGGAGAAAATCTTGGCCAAGGAAGCAGAGCACAGTGACAGGCTGACACCAGGATGGCATCAGGCTGATGCACAGCCCTGATGGCAGCATGACTGTGGGCATGTAAAGAGATTGTGAAAGCTTTTCTAAGGAGGGTTTACAAGCAGTGACTGGGAGCAGGGACTCACTCCTTGGCACAAAGACTCAGTTTGCTGCCGACAGCTCAGGGGTAGTCAATGGAGCTGGGTGCAGCTTTCCAGAGGCCTGGAGAAGATCACTGGGCTGTGAGGTGACAGTAGTGAGCCAGCCAGGAGGCAGGAGACACTGCAGGGATGGGGCAGTGAGCTGAGGGCTCTGTTAAGTGCTTCACTGCCAACCAGAGCGCAGCCCAAGCGGATGGCATGGCTGCTATGGGGAGGTGTGTGTAAGGTGTGTATAAAGTGTGTGTAAGGTGTGTGTAGTGTGTACAAGGTGTGTACAAGATGTGTGTATAAGGTGTGTTCAAGGTGTGTACAAGGTGTGTACGAGGTGTGTGTAAGGTCCCATCAGTGGCAGCTCATTTTGGCCTTAATGTGAACGAACCACTGGGGGTGGATGATCCTGCTTTGCTGCACAGGTCTGACTCCAGCTCTAACCCTGTGCTCTCCTGGACATGAACCTGGCTGCCCGGTCGGAGGAAACCTGAGCACTGGTTCCTTTGGGCACCTCCAAACCAGCCCTGGTGTTACCTGACAAACTTCATGTGGGCTGACACGCTGGCCAGGCCCCAGTAGCCACTGGGACTCCCAGCCTCCAGCTACGTGGGCATTCCTGCCTTGGGATGTGCCAAGGAGTAGGAGCTGAGCTGAGCCAGCTCATGGTCACAGCAAGGCCATGTTTAGGACACAGAGGTCACCTGGTGCTGCAGAGAAGGGCCAGGAACACCAAGCAGTCCTTTTCCTCCTCCTCTTCCTCGTGGGGCTGCCATCAACCACTGCCCCCAGCAAACCCTGCGTATGCCTCCACACAGTGTATGGGATGGAGAACTCTGCCCTCCCTGCCCTGCCATACCGAGCTCCTGGGGGTTGCTAGGAGTAACCTGCACTAGCAGTGAAGTGCAGAATGTCCTCAAGTGGTTTACACCCATCCTAACCTCACCTGGCACCAGTGCAAACAACAGGGTGCATGGTGAATCCAGCAAATGACCCTGTTCTGCTTGGTCAGGGGGCAAGGGGGAGGCTTCTGGTGCCTTCGGTTTCTTGGTTTAATTTTATTTCCAAATGATACAGTGTCCTGTATCAGGTCATAGAACAGTCACCATTGGAAGGGACCTTAAAGCTCCTCCAGCTCCAACCCCTGCCACGGGCAGGGACCCCTTCCACTGGAGCAGCTTGCTCCAAGCCCCTGTGTCCAACCTGGCCTTGAACACTGCCAGGGATGGGGCAGCCACAGCTTCTCTGGGCACCCTGTGCCAGCGCCTCAGCACCCTCACAGGGAAGAGCTTCTGCCTAAGAGCTCATCTCAGTCTCCCCTCTGGCAGGTTAAAGCCATTCCCCTTGGCCTGTCCCTACAGGCCCTGGTCCAAAGCCCCTCTCCAGCTTTCCTGGAGCCCCTTTATGTTGTTGCCCCAGAGCTGGATCAGGGCTGCAGGGGGGGTCTCCCCAGAGCTCAGCAGAGGGGCAGGATCCCCTCCCTGAGCTGCTGCTCACGCTCTGGGGGTGCAGCCCAGCACACGGGGGGGTTCTGGGCTCAAGCTCACACTGAAGCCGGGTCATGGGGAGCTTCTCATTGACCAACACCCCAAGTGCTCCTCCTCAGGCTGCTCCATCCCACCTCCCCCAGCCTGTGGCTGTGCTGGGGATTGCCTGACCCAGGGGCAGGACCCTGCTCCTGCCCTTGTTGAACTCCATGAGGTTCACAGACACCCATCTCTCCAGCCTGCCCAGCTCCTTCTGGATGGCTATATTACCATTATTATATTACTGTTATAGCACCAGAACCTCTTCCAGGGACTGGATGCTTCCCAAAGGAGCCTGAAGTTTTTGCCAGGTGCCTGTTAATTCTCCTTCAGGATTTGAGCCCTGATGTTACTGGGATGTGGTCAAGAAGCTCAGGGTTACACAGGGAGCAGTGCAGAGCGCTCAGCCCTGCTCACACCCACCTCAACCCCCTCTGAGCTCTAACACTGGTAACAGCCCTGCCCAGGACATGGGCTCACCTCCCCACTGCAAACCATCACCCATGTACCTGGTAACTGCCAAAAGCTCCAGTTTACTGCATCTTATTCAGCTGGAGACAGTGCCTGCCCAACAGTGAGCATCTGCCAGAGACATCCTCACCTTCATCTTCCTTGGACCAGTCTTCACCCTCACCACCTTCACCAGCCACAGCGAGGAGCCAAAAACCTTACAAAGCCCAACGGTTTGCTGTCACTGAGAAAAGCAGCATCTCTGCCCCACAGCTTTGGTGCTCACATGAGCTCTGAGCAACCTAGCACAACTCCAAAGCTGGCCTTGCTTTAGCAACAAGTTGGGCCATGCAACCTCCAGAGATCCCTTCTGACCTCAACTATTCTGTGATCTGAACTCCTAACTCATCATTTCAGCCCAGTAATGGAACGGAAACCTCATCAAAGTTTTCTACTGCCAGCATCCAGCATAAGGGTGTATGTGGAGGAATGGGCTGGCTCCTTTTTGGGCTGGTTGGTGCCAGATCAGTTTGGCTGCAGTGAGAAACATCACCCTGAAGGTGCAGGATCAAACACTGCTGAACTTAGAGCAAAAGGAAAGCTGGGCACCACAGACTGGGCTCTCAGTCACTAAGGGATTAGTTTAAGCCAGAGTTCTGAGCTTCCTGCACAAACAAAGGGACCTGACAGAGAAGACTTCAGGGCCCATTTCCTAACACCAACACATCCCTCACCAGTTGACACATGGCACTGGGACTCACTGTTACATACACAAGACTGTGAAGTTGACATCCACGCTTTGAGTGTCAGCCAGTACTAGAAACTCATCAGCTTATCTCAGGCTTATCACAGTCTGAAGAAGACAAAATTATATCCTTGGGGTAAGAATACAAAGCCAAAATGTAGGAAAATATGGAGTTGAAGATGGAGAACATTTCCTACCTTTCTCTCTGCTACACCAACTATTCCACATACACCAGCAGCTGCTGGACCACAAACCCCCAGATCTCCATTTTACATGCCAAGGGTACTGTACTCTCAGATGCAGCCATAGCTCACCTCCTTTATCTCTAGGTACCAGTGATGACTACAGTGTCCTGAAGCAAAAGGGACTTCTGAGAAGCCTGAACACACCATTCCTATCCATTTAAAGCACCTATGAAGAACACTGTAGGCCACACATACGGTGCTCCAGGTGTCCCCCGTCCCATCTTCAGCAGTGCATGGTCAGAAGCATGACTTAAAGAGGTGTATTAGAGACACACTGGATATAAGCTAATCTGCCAGAGCTTGGAAAGCTTGTTGAGATCTGGCTGAATCCTTCCCTGGATGCAGCAGCTCAAACCATGACATCCTGATGGCTGGAGCTGGAAAGGAACCAGAGCTCAGCGCCTGTCCAAGAGCAAGTTGTGAAAGCTTCAAACCTCTGGATTCTCCCCAAAGCAGAGCCCATCATCACTGGCCATCATGTGCATGGCTGGGACACAAATACAGGCGCTGGGAA